TAAATTGGCTGAAAAGTACCAATATACTTAAAAGTAGCCAATAACAGGAAAATACGAAACTAACATTAAAAGTCGGTTAAGTAGAAATGAAAAAAAAAGAAAGATATGTATGAAGTAAGAATAAGAAAATTCAAGAAGACAGAAGGATAATTATTCGCATATGACGTGTGCTAGGAAGGTTTTAGACTGGATTAAACGAAAAAAAATACTTAGAAAGGCTCAAAATGAAGATAGGTATGAAAAACACGAATGAAAGATTCCATTTTCTCAAAAATGCATCTGCAGAGATGCTGGTAGCTATAGTCTGTAGCAAAATTAATTTGACACAAGGTCACTGCTGAGAGGTGGAAAAATAGTTGGATGTCTTTATTTTTAAGCCAATCAGATATTGACATTGTTGTTAAGTTTTTGAACACAGTTCTTTTAATGTAAACAAAAGAACAACAACATATTCGAATTTCTGCATTGGCGTATCTTGACGACAAAGAATAGATTGAGGAAAACTCAAAGAGAAAAGAAGAATAAAAGGAGTCAGAGGAAGGATTGAAGAAAGAGAGAAAGGAAGAAAGAGGAGGAGGAGGGGTAAAGAGAAAGGGGGAAAGATTCATTCAGAGGGAAGAAGAGAAAGGATTGAAGAAAGAGAGAGAAGTAGTAGGAGGAGGAGGGGTAAAGAGAGGGGAGAGCAGAAGAGTCAGAGGGAAGAAGAGAAAGGATTGAAGAAAGAGAGAAAGTAGTAGTAGGATGGGTAGAGAGAGAGGGTGGACAGAAGGGTCAGAGGGAAGAAGAGGAAAAATTGAAGAAAGAGAGAGAGGAAGTAGTAGGAGGAGGAAAATCAGAGAGTGAGAAGAGAACAAACGAGCAAGAAGGAAGAAGAAGAAGGTTTGAATTAAGAAAAAGTGGAAAGAGAAGTAGTAGCGGGAGTAGAGAGAGAAAGAGTGAGGACGGATGAAGAGAATGAAGTGAGTAAAGAGAGAGACAGATAGAGGGGGAAGAGAAGAAAAATTAAAGAGAGAGTGGATAGAGAAGTGGAACGGCGGATTAAAGAGAAAGAGAGACAGAAGAGAGCAGAGGGAAGAAGAGGGTGGATTAAGAAAAGAGAGGGTGGAAAGATAAGTAGAAGAAGGGGGTGGATTAAAGAAAAAGACAGAAGAGTGCTGAGAGTAAAAAAGGAAACAGTAAGAAAGACCCAACCGGAGAAAGATACTGAGAAGATGAAGGGTAAAATAGAGAGAAAGGATAGAAATAGAAGGACAAGGAGAGGAAAAGGAAGGAAGGAAGGAAGAAGTGAAGAAAGAGAAATGAAAGTAGATATTGAAGCAAGTGGTAAAGATTAAAACTACAAAATTAAGAAGCAGGTGGTTGAAAAGTGGAGAAAGAATAGACGAAAGAGATAAGGGTAGAAAAGAGATGAGGAGACATTTAAGGAATAAAGTGAGAGCATGATGAATTTTTAAATGAGAAAGTGTGAAAATAAGTCAGAAAGCAATAAGGAAAGATGAGAGAGTGAGCGAGAGATAGAATACAAATGATGGCAGTTGAAGTGAGAAGCAAGGTGGGTAGATGAAGAAAGAGACTAATGGAAGGTAGAGGTCGAAGGAGAAATGTGGTGAGGGGAAGAGGAAGGGAACGTTGTGGGTGAAAGGTAGAAGAAAATTGTCAGTGAGAGGGAGAGAGAGGGTGAAAGGGTGAATTTAGAGGAGGGAGATAGAAAAGGAGGAAGAATTGAAGATGGAGAAGACTGTGAGAGGGAGAAGTGAGGGGAAGAGGTGAAAAGGAAGAATTTAGAAGCGAATGGGAGAGGGGAAGTGAAAACGGAGGAAGAAGAGTGACAGAAGGAAATAATTGTTTGGGGCGTGGTGGGGATAAGATGGTTAGGAGGAGTAAATTAGAAAGGAGAGGGAAAAGAGAGGTGTTAGGAGAGTGAAGCGAGAGAAATAGGGAAAGGGTAATTGAACAGAAGAGATGGGATAGAAAATTAGAGATGTTAGATGAAGAGAAGAGGCGAAAGAGAGGGATGGGGAATACTGACCAAGAAAGAGCGCGAAAGAGTGAACTGAAGTGGAGAATAGAGTAGGAGGAGATAATTGGAGAAAGGGGGAGAAATGAGAAAAGAGGAAGGAGAAAAGTGGTGGGGAGAGAAGAAAAATAGAAGAAATAGATATTTAAAGAGGAGGGGGAAGAGAAGCGGTTAAGAGAAGGAAAAAAGTGGCAGTAAGGGGGGAGTGATGTAAAAACGTGACAGAGAAAGAGGGGGAAAGGGGTAACTGAAGAGGAGCAGCCGAGAACTGGAGAAAGGGGAAGACGTGATGAGAGGGAAAGAAAAAAGTAGCAGGGAGAGGAGAAATACAGAGGAAGGAGATTTTTAGAGAGGAGGGGTATGAGAAGAGGTTAGGAGAAGGTGAAAAGTAACGGAAAGAAGGCGAGTGACGGAGAAAAGTGACAGAGAAAGAGGGAGAAAGTGGAAACAAGAAGAGGCGCGAAGAGTGATGAAAGGGATGAGGGAAAAATGCTAGGAAATAGAGAATGTGGAGAAGTGAAGAGGAAAGAAAGGTAAAGGACATAGTTGGAAATAAGAGGAGGAAAGAAAAGATGTGAGAGGTGTGGAGAAAGACTGAATTGGAGAAAAGAGGAACGAGTGAAGGTGTGAGGAAAGCGCGACGGAAAAATTACCTGGAAAGGTGGAAGTGAAGGGGAACTTTGAATATTTGGGATAGAGAGAGAGGAGGAAAGAGAAGATGTGAGAGGAAGGGGGAAAGAGAAGGAATATAAAGCGGGAAAAGGAAAAAGTGATCGCGGAGGGAAGGTGAAAGGTGAGAGAAGAATGAGAAGAAATGTAAGAGAGAAAAAGAAGTGAAAGAGAACTTATGAATAGAGATAGAGAGTAGGGATGAGTAGAGAGACAGGGGGTAGTAAAGGTAAAATCAAGGTATGTCTTGACAAGAGAAACTGGCGAAAAATCGACCTGACCGAAGAGAAATTCAGAAGGGAACAAATCTCTAGAAACACCGGAAAAGAAAGAAAAAACAAAACAAAGAATATTTAATAGTTGAAAGAAGAAAAAAACTTCACCAACGTACAAACATAAAAACTCCCATAAAAGAACGTACTTTTCCATCTTTGTTACAAAAAATAAATAAATGTTTTAAAAAATACAACGAAAAATCACGTGTTGAAAATATTTTTACCTGTACAATTTGAGCCAAACATTGTTGAACTTGTGTTAGTGTGTAGCCACGAGGAACCAACTCATGGCTACACACCAAATATCTTATTCTTTGCGTCAAGATATTTTTAATCATGTTATTCATGACTTCCGTTTCCACTCCATTATTATTTCCCGCTTTTTTTTTCTTTTTCAACAAGTTTAACTTATTTTTACTTCCGTGTTTTACTTACATTCGCCTTTGCTACTAACAATATTTTGTTCTTATGGATATTTTTGTCTGAGATTCATGTATCCCGACATATATATATATATATATATATATATATATATATATATATATATATATATATATGTGTGTGTGTGTGTGTGTACACACACACACATACATATATATATATATATACACACACACACACACACACACATATATATATACATACCCACGCACACACATATGTATATACATGCACAGACACACACATACATATTCTTACTTCCGTGTTTTACTTACATTCGCCTTTGCTACTAACAATATTTTGTTCTTATGAATATTTTTGTCTGAGTTTCATGTATCCCGACATATATATATATATATATATATATATATACACAAATACACACACATATATACATGCATACATACACACACACATACACACACACACACACACACACACATATATATATATATATATGTGTGTGTGTGTGTGTGTGTGTGTGTGTGTGTGTGTGTATGTAAGTATTGTTGTTTATATTTTTTACTTTTTATAGTAGGTCAGAGAAGGTCATATTTTTTCCCCAAATTGATATTCTTCTCTGCATTTTTTTCCTGAGTTTGCAAAATGCTTGTTCATTGATTCCTGGTTCCCAAATTGCATTGATTCCCTTTGTTCTTTGCTGAGGGCAGAGGAATGAGAAAGAGATAAAACAAAATTTAACAATAAATAAAATAAAATAAAATAATAATGGATATGATGAGGAAAGAGAAGAAAATGAATGTAAGACACAAGAGAAGGAACTCTGAAAGAAAAAGAAAGAAAGAAAGAAGCTAGAAAATAAAAAAAGAAATACTGAGAGAGAAGAATAGAACGAGAAGTGGGGGGGGAATAAAAACGAGATAGTCAATGGACTAAAGAAGGAAAAAAAACAGAAGTAAAAGAAGGAAATGAAGACAAAAGTGTGAACGCGAAAATATAAGAAGAATGAAAAAAACGTTAAGATAGAAAAAAATGTATGAGAAGAAAGAATTTAGAATCACTTTTTCTTCTCGCAAAAAAAAAAGGTAAGAAAGAAAGAGAGACAGAAAATACGATGACAACAAGTATTACTCGTTCTTCTAATAAAAATTCAAAATAATTTCAAAGAAAAAAAGAAAGAAGGAAGAAAAGTATGAAAGAAAGAAAGAAAGAAAGAAGATGAGGTTAGGCCGAGAGGCACACGTTCTACTAATGAAAAAAATCTATTTCATAGAAAATGGAGAAAAATGAAAGAGAACGAGATTTGACCGAGAATCACTCGTTCTTCTAAGAAAAAATCAAAACGAAAGAAAGAAAGAAGGAAAAAAGAAAATGCTGTTTGTCTGTCTAAAGCAAAAGAGAAAGAGAAATAAGAAAGAAAGAGAAGAAAGAAAGAAATAAAGAAAGAAAGAAAGAAAAAAGAAAGAAAGAAAAAGAAAAGAAAAAGAAGAAAAAAGAAAGACAAAATGAGAATGAGATTAGACCGAGAACCACTCGTTTTTCTAATGAAAAATCAAAACCAAAGCAAAAAAAGAGAAAGAAAGAATACAGTTAGATCGTGAAGTATTCGTCTGTATAACGAAAAAAACAAAAGTATTTTAGAAAGAAAAAAGAAAGGAAAAAGAAAGAAAAGGAATTAGATTAGGCCTAGACACACTCGTTCTTCTAATAAAAAAACAAGCGATTTCTAAGAAAGAAAGAAAGAAAGAAAGAAAGAAAGGAAAAAGAAAGATGGAAAGAAAGAAGGAAAGAAAGAAAGAATTAGGTGACACCGTGAACCACTCGTCCGTATAATGAAAAAGGTATTTTAGTGAAAATTGAAGAAAGAAAGATAGAAAGAAAGAAAAGGAATTAGATTAAACCTAAACGCATTCGTCCTTCTAATAAAAAGCAAACAATTTCTAAAAAAAAAAGAACGAAAGAAGGAAAGAAAGCAAGAAAGAGAATGAGTTTAGACCGCAAAGCACTCGTCCATATAATGAAAAAAAGCATTTATTTTAGAGAAAGAAAAAAAGTGAAAGAATAAGATGAGACAGACGCATTCCTTCTTTTAATAAAAACAAACGATTTCTAAGAAAGAAAGAAAGAAAGAAAGAAAGAAAGAAAGAAAGGATGAAAACAAAGAAAGAGAATAAAGTTAGATCGGGAAGTACTCGTTCTTGTAATGAAAACGTAAAACTATTTCTGAGAAAGGGAAAAAAGAAAGAAAAAATAGAATGAAGTTAGACTGAGAGGCAATCATCATTTTCATAATTAAAAAAAAGAATCATTGCTCAAAAAATAAAAAGGATTTAAAAGAAAAATTATGAAGAAAATAAACCAAACATAGCACACGATGAAAGAGTTTTGTTCGTGTCTCACTTTTCGCACACGAAAAAGAAAAATTAAAAAAAAGAGGAAAATGAAAGATTGAGTGACCCATCTCCCACCAAGAAAGCAAGCCCATTTCTTAAAAACGTATAGCATTATATTTGATGAAAGGAGGACATTAAACTCAATTTTTACTCGTCAAGATCTCATTGTAAATAGAGTTTTTTTTCTTCTTCTTGCGGGCCCTGTAGCAGCAACAATATTTCTTATGAAGAATTCTTACAAGTATAAAAATCAGGAGAGAAAAATACCTTACTGAAAAACATATTATTCTTATTGTCATTTGTAAAGAAATGAAGCAGACAAGAACGAATAAAAGAAAAGAGCGAAAGAAAGAGAGAAAAGAAGAAAGAAGTTAAACTTGCCAGAAATAAATAAAAATGAGGCGACAAAAGAACAAAGCGAGTAAAATAAATAAATAAGAAAAGAAGAAAAACGCCCCAATAAACTGAAATGAAATTACTTATTCGGACAAGAAAGTGATGGATTTCATATTTTTCCCCAACAATGGTAAGATGTACAAAATTTCTCCAGAAAATTAATTGAGGCCTTAAAAATTCCCTGCACAAAGAGAGAGATCACCATGACAACAGAAAGAACATGGAAGTAAAAATCCGTAATATTAATTCTTAGTTCTTTATTTATTACTATTATCGATTAATATTTGTCTCCTTATCTTTTTTTGTTTTTTGTTTTTTGCTTTTTAATAAAGTCTAAGTAGTGACAAATGTGCGAGTGAGATCAAAATGTCCGTAGCCAGGTTAGTAGTTGTTTAGTTTAAATCGATACATTCACTGTTCCCTCGGCGTGTGATTAACATATCACCACTGAATTAGGTGCATTGACAAAGAAGATTATATTGAAAAATAAATATCAGCTGTGTAAAATCAATAGATTTTTTTTTATAATGCGGAGTATAAGACGCTCCGAAATATTAGAGGCTCCCCAAATTTTGAAGGAAGAAATCAGAAAAGATATTTTTCTTGTACTTCATAGACCTCCATGCCAGCCCCAATTTTACCCACTGAATGAAAATTTGACTATTACATGACAATTTCATCACAGACCGAGAAGTACCAAATTTATGATAACAATTTAAAATGTAATAATTAGAAGAGAAGTTAAATCCCGTCACCGATTTTTGATTTATAGGACGCAGGGTATTTTTTGAGATATCTTATAAGGATAAAATGCGTCATATTCAATAATATATAATATATATATATATATATATATATATATATATATATATATATATATATATATATATATATATATATTCGTGTGTTCAAATTTAAATTTAATTTAAATCAAAGGGAAAAAATTTTCAGTGGGGAGTTTGTGCAGGGTGGGTGCTTTGATCAAAATGAAATATACTTATCCAAGTACCTGGGTAATGTAGTTTTAGAATATATATAGTTATGGGGGTCTATCTCAAAACCCTAGGAGATGTTCGATAACAAAAACAGACAGAGGTTAATATATATATATATATATATATATATATATATATATATATATATATATATAATATATATATATATATATATATATATATATATATATATATATATGGTGTAGTATTAGCTATTTTCCATCTTCAATTTTCATTGTATAAGATGATCGATTAGGCTACAGATTAGTAACAAACGAATATAAACTTTTCCACTTCCATCAAAACATACCAATTTCAACTGAGCAACCCACCAATCACTATCCACACTCTCATATCAACTATACTTTATTGCTAGCCACAAAGCCTACCATTACAGTGATTGCAAATTTGTCTTGCAGACTACTGTAATGGCACCGAGTTTGTGCTCCATTTTTACACCATTAAAAACACAGACAGCCTGCGTGAGACTAGGCTCACCTACGTAAATATCTATCCTTTGTTCATAGCCACAACACCGACCATAGCAGAGATTAGATAAATCTTCTTTCAGACATGTTTAAATGTATTTGGCAGAAATGCCCAACAAACAGACAAAGAATGCAATAAACAGTAAGAAGAGAAAGAAAAGAACAAAGCAAAAATAATACTAAGCAAACCATATATGCAAGACAAAAGTGGGCAAAGCAGCAATAATGAGGCAAAAATGTTCACAAAGTAAGAGCTCATATTGCAACTTTTGTTTTTATTATTGCTTTTCTCTGGCACTCCTTATTTACTGGTTATATATATATATATATATATATATATATATATATATATATATATATATATATATATACTAACCAACTAAACAACACAAAGAGACTAGGTGCAAAACGTTTCTTCGAGTTTTACACAGAGCGATCGCCAGACGACAAAAACCAGAGCAACGATTTGTAATGAATCTCTGTGTGTTGTTTCGTTGGTTTTGTGTTACTGTTCTGTCTTGGTCTAGAGGCATTGATCACTCCAAGCTATTGCCAAAGTAGGTGTCTATCTCCTATTCCCTTTATCTTTACTTTCTCTTCTTTTATCGTTTTGTTTTTGTTCTTGGTTCCATTTTCTTTTTTTCTAATTAGTAATATTCTGTTTATATATATATATATATATATATATATATATATATATATATATATATATATAATGATAAAATATAGTTCGAATGCATACTATATTTATACTCAACATCTGGAATATAGCGTACGAAAATATAAAAGAGTACATTTAAATCAACACCCTAAGGTGACAGTCTTTTACATGAAATTTGTCTAGTTTCTAACTACTGTTTCATTGGTTAGTATTACTGGTCTATCTTGGTCTATTTGGTAGATCACTGAGCACTTTTGCGTCATATCGGAGATAGTTATCTATTTCTTTTCTGTCTCTTTGTTTCATTTCTCTTCTTTTTTGTTTTTTTTTCTTTTGTTATTTTGAATTGTTTTGTTCCGTTTGGCAGGATTAGTGTTCTTAGGGCTATATTTGGAAGTTTTACTAACAGTTTGGTTTATTTCACACACACACACACATATATATATATATATATATATATATATATATATATATATATATATATATATATATATATATGCCAATTAAGGAATTGTATTCCTAATCAATCAAAATTGTAAATAATTATATAGGCTACACTACAACATGTTTGACACGAAGACTCACTCTACACCTTTCTAACCATAGTTCAATTAGATCTCATTTAAATATTCATGGAGACCCAACGGACACTATTCGTAACATAGTTGTTGACAACTCAAATATAATACCACCATCTACATACAAAAAAGGATAAAAATAATGGAAGTCTTATTAATAAAAGCAAACAAAAACAACACTTAATAATATCAACTATGAACATGGACATAATATCTTGACCGTGTTTTGAAAAAAATGAAAACATTATATAAATACATACATGCAACAAACTTTTTCTTATTTAATAGTTAAAATATTTCATCCTTGAAAATGGCTAAATGTATAGCCAAAAGTGTTCGGAAAATACGAACATTCTGTCAGTTTTTATATAATTTATCATCTGAAAAGAAAAAAAATATTAGATCGCATGAGAAATTGTATAAAAAAACTAAATAAAAGCACCTTGTCTGTCGTATTGAATGAAATGTGCATGAAAGGATTGCTGCCTAAATTTACAGACATAGACATGCACACACATATAAAGAACAGACGTTCTTTGTTATATACATAATACCAGAAACGATACATTTGTTAGAACACTTGATGAAAAGATAGATTGTGAAAAGTGAATTCAAATTTTTCCCCATGAGTAGATTTTGACTGGATTTGAACTCAGATCTCTGGTGTGCTTTTCGGTGTCGATAATCATGGCGCCATCTTGAGCTTCCCGACATGCTATAGTTACAGACAACTATTTCAAGGAACCATTTCCAAGAAAGTAAATTCTCTCTAGAAAGAAAATTCCCATAGATTATATATTTCTTTTGCCTCTCTTTTTCGAAGTTAAATGCGAAATTCTATTTGCGAAAATCGATAGATTTCCCTTTTTGGCGCGAATTGAAAGACACAAGTATTCGTTCGTTTTATCAGTAGAAACCAAAGCCAGTCTCATTAAAATGTTTTTCAAAAATTCACTCAAGGGCCAATAGTCGACCGGGATTTCTGGTCAATTGGCAAATTATTCAACGACAGTGTGAATTACAAGTGAACGAGAATATCATAGAAGGCGGGAATAAACAAAAAAGGTAGTCTTTTATTAGGATGGAATTATATTCGATATCAATTTGAAAAAATGGTTGAAAGGAGAAAAGAATTCATTTTAAAGTTAATAACTTTATTTGAAAAGAATCTGAAATTCACTCATTATTGGGAAATTTACGGCCGATAATAGGGAAATAAATACACACAGAGGTGTGTGTGTGTGTGTGTGTGTGTGTGTGTGTGTGTGTGTGTGTGTGTGTGTGTAGATAAATACATTATATATATATATATATATATATATATATATATATATATATATTACGTGCTGGACCCCTTGAAAAACTATTGATGTTGACAACTAAGATATCATTACTACAGTATATATATATATATTTCTGCAATTACTGACTGAATAGAGCTATTAAATTCGTATTAACTGTAAATTTACGCATTTAAAGTTAATAAGCAAAATCAATATTTTAGAGATAAAGAAAGAGAGAAAGAAATTTATGAATAACGAAAGAAAGAAAGAAAGAAAGAAAGAAAGAAAGAAAGAAAGAAGAAATCAAATTTGTATATGAGTAAAGAAAGAAAGAAAGAAAGAAAGAAAGAAAGAAAGAAAGAAAGAAAGAAAGAATTGTCCGGTTTCTATTTGAGCTGGCAAATAATAATTTGCCTGGTTTATACTTGAGTTAAAGGGTTAACGTTGGTCTAGACGATAATTGAATCAACAAGTAATCCTTCGTTCGATTTATATTTGAGTCAGCAAAAAATATTTTGTCCAGTATATATTTGATTTAAAACGTGAAAATTTGTCCGGATTATAATTGAGTCGACAAGTAATCCTTGGCTCAGTTGATGTTTAAGTCAACAAGTAATATTAGGTTGGTGCAAAAAATAATGTCGTTTTCTCTTTTTAAAATTGAACGTCAAAAACGACATTATTTTTTGCACCAACCTAATACATTGTCGGGTTTATACTTAAGTTGAAAGGTAAACGTTGATTCGGTTTGTATTGCATCAAAAGGAAAACATTGGTTCGGCTTATAATTGAGTCAAGTTATCCTTGGTCCAGTTTATACTTGAATCAAAAGGTAAACTCTGGCCTAGTTTATACTTGAGTAAAATGGTGAGCGTTGATCCAGTTCATAATGTACAAATTCTAGAGCTGGTTTTCGACTGTTTTTATTGCGTAAACTGTTTAGTACTTGGCTGTACTGTATAAACATTTAGAAATAAATTAGAAATGTTACAAAATGATACAAAATCTGGTGTTGTCGAAAGTACTATTGGCCCACTGCCAAACGGGCGATGTTTATATGATATTCCTGCAGTAAACTTCAAGAGTCTCTTCATAAAATTATACATCAATATTTGAAATAGTTTTGCTCTAATAGCGAATTGAAGCCGCGTACTTCTTTTATAACCCGCATCGTATATTAAATAACACTTTACTTTCGCGTCCGTTCTGCATCTTTCTTTCACTCAGGTATTTTTATTTCAAGATCTCTCTCTCTCTCTCTCTCTCTCTTTATTATCTTGCATTTTCTTTTTTCCTCTCATCTTGTTTCTTTTTCTTTTTTTTTTCGCCTTTTTCTCGCTTCAATCTGTTTATTGTCTTTCTTACTGTTCCTTCCTTTATCTTTCTTCGGCCTCTTCTTCTTCTTGATATTATTATTTTCTTTCTTTCCTTTTCTCATCCTCTCTCTGCTTTTTTTCTTCTCTCCATTTTCCCTTTTCGCCTATTCTTATTTTATTTTTGTATTTTTCTCCTTGCTTCTTCTTTTGACCCTTTTCCTTTTTACTGTCATTATTTTTCATATCTTACCTCTTCTTCTTTTTACACAGACGTTCTTATACTCGCATCTTGCTCTTAGTTTTCTTCACTCTCGCCTTTTTCTCTCTCTCTCGCTCTCTCTCTCTCTATCTCAGGTTTTTCTTTCACTTTTTCACATTTTCTTTAGATACTTCTTCTCTTCCCTTTTTCTTCTCTGTGTGCAAACAGACACACCACACACAAAATCAAAAGTGCACACACACACACACACACACACACACACACACACACTCTCTCTCTCTCTCTCTCTCACACACACACACACACACACACACACACATAAAATCTGAGTCAATCGAATTTTTATTCGTATAATTCGAAGTTCCTAGAAAATCGAAATAGTCCTTTTGGCCTTTTCTTGAATTAGTGACAGTTCAAAACATGGTCTATAATTTCAGCAAAATGTGCCTATTATCAGGTGCGCTGGACACTTAGTCATGAAATAATGGCTAACGAGATTCGTGTTACTAGATAGTCTGTTCGATTTCCAAACTGTGACCTGATGCTTAATTTTAGGCAGAATTTCTAAAAAATGAAACGTTACAAAATTACAGAAAGTTTTGTCTTGAACAGATTCTTCACACTTATGAAAAATATTAAAAAAAGCCATATATGCTATGACTAAAATGAGATATTAAAAACGTTTTTAAATGGGCTTGCGTTTGGAAAGCATTTATGATTCTTTAAGCATTTGATATACTGATCATGTCCGATATGTTTCCCCCCCCTACTCCTAATTTCAACGGGTCTTACTAATTCATGGAATAAATAAATTACTTCATCTGAGAACTTTCGACAACACAAGGAAGACTGGGTATTGAATACAACAAAGATGAGGATGCCCGTCTAAATAATTCATGGAATAATGGCATATATATATATATAGAGAGAGAGAGAAAAAAAAGATAGATAGATAGATAGATAGATAGATAGATAGATAGATAGATAGATAGATACCTCCACATTAGCAATACCTAAGATTTAAATTATTTTTTTTAAATTAAAAACATTCTTGAAGCTTTAATTTTGGCTTTAATTGAAAGCTAAATGAGTAAATTTACTATTTCCAGTAAGTAAAATACTCTGATACATTTAAAACAGAAATTATATTGATTGTAATCGATATTTCTTTTGTTTGCAGAATTCATATAGTTTTGAGACATTTATAAACACAAGTTAGTTCTCGGGTTGAAAAATCTTGAAAAAATAAAATATAATTTTCTGAAATTTTATTTGAGATATATTAGCTGATTTAAAGTGTACTGAATCTGATTTGAGACAAATATCGTTTACTTTGAATATTAAATATTGCAAGAGTAGTCGTGTTTACGTGTCTGACGATGTGATGTATTGTTTCAGCGAAAAAGTGGAGGTACTTAATATATATATATATATATATATATATATATATATATAAATATTATATATATAAATATAGTATAAATATATATATATAAATATATATATATATATGTATATATATATATATAAATATATATATATAAATATATATATAAATATATATATATATATATAAATTATATATATAAATATTACATTATATATATATATATATAAATTTCATATATTTTTCATATATTACAAATATTATATATTTTTAAAAACCTTTATTCTACATTCAACACCATCACTTGATAAGACACCAGAAGTGTTGAAACAAAATGGCTATTTTTGTAGTAATTTCATAACATATTTATGTTATAATTTTCGAATAAATAATTATATTTACTCTACTCTGTAATAAGCACTCTTTTAAGAATATTTTTTTGGTTATTGGAATTTATTTCGTATACACAAATCCTATACTTGGATATATATATATATATATATATATATACATTGATGATAAATCATGAAGAATGATGATAAATTATGGTATAATGACAATGACTCATTTGGAAATTTCAGTGAGTAAGGCCACAGAACGCACTAGCCTAATCGCAATGATGCAAGCAACACGGGTGAAGATACTAGTCTGAATAAGTTGTGCTATAATACCAATGATTCATTTTCGAAATTTCAGACAATGGGTAAGGCCTCAGATAGAAATGGGCTGAAGAACAGTTTTAAAAAATATGAAGCATGGCTGAGAAGAAATTATCTGAAAAATATCGTAAGATAATTACAAGGATTCATCAGAATATTTAAGATATCACTTGGATTCCGTGGTCAAGTCATTATGCAGGAGGAGAATGCGAGTCCGAATTAATCATTGAATAATGATAAACGTCTATTGTCCGAATATTAGATCCTGTTTTCGTTAACGTGTAGGATTCAGAATAATCCATTACCTCATTCGAACTCTTTTGCGTCTTTCAACGCCAGTTTGAATTGGGAAAATGGGCCCAATGAAAAGCTATATTTAGACGATAAGACCTTCTGTTACTCATCTTTTTGTCCTTTTGTGCAATCGACAAATGTCACATGAATTCTCTCAACTTACAAACAAAAGGTTTGAATTATTTTCGTCTCTGTTGTTTTTCTCACATTCTTAAATCCTGAACAAAAGAGGCAGATCTTGGCCTCGCTTTTGGGGCTCTCTTCCTTGTACAAAACAAAGGTCCATAATTATAACGCATTGTTTCCTCTCTCTCTCTCTCTCTCTCTCACACACACACACACACACACACACACACACACACTGTATAAAAGCCGCGCTACAAACATCTTTAAATTTCTCCTCTCTGGAACAAATGGCAAACATTTTAGATAACCAGCTTTGACTTCCTTCTTTCTTTCCTTCTCTTCTCTCTCTCTCTCTCTCTCTCTCTCTCTCTCTCTCTGATTTTAGATTTAAAAGCCGCAAGGAATCCAATTCTCTTTAACTGGTCAGTTTCCAAATCTATGGGGGACACTGACATTCTTTCTTCTTTGCTCGACGGTGACAGTTAAAAAGTAATTGTTATATAATTGTTACGTCTGGGTTGATCTGAAACAGACAAGGAAACCAACAACCGACTCGTTCGCAGTGCTGGTTAACGAGTAACGGGGTTGGAACAAAGTGACAAGGAGTTAACTCGAAACTAATCACTGTTTTCTGGTTCGCTCAAATCGCAACTGTTTCCGAGATTGATCGCCAGGAAAGGAGCCCAATTTCCGCCGACCAGACATGATCTTCTACGGCCTTTGCCAAACAATACCCACAAATGAACGCTTAGCCATTGATGCCTGACAATAAGCAACAACAACAACAAAATCACGCTCCAAGAAACAGATAACTTCAGAGGTGGAGGGACGAATTGTATGAAACATATATTTCCACATGTAAAGCAGCCTATGTATAAGACGGCGCTCAAAATCGAGGTAAATTTTTGTCATTTCATCTGATATCCGTAGTATAAGATGACTGACTGGGACCCATGACTCAAAACTGGAAATGGCGATGTTTATTATGATCTCTTAGCATCAAATGATGATGATCATAGCAATTTTGAATGTTTTTAATGATGTATTTGCATATCTTATATTTTTTTCTGAAATGAGAAATAAAGATTTTATGGTATCTTAAATGTTTTGATGCTTAATACAGCAAAAATACCGTATAATGTTTGTTACTAAAAAATAAAGTTTGCATGTTGTTATTCAACATCACAATGATAATGAATTTTAATTAGAAGTATAAATTGTATGTTATCCTAAATACTGATATATAAATATTTAACACTACTATAGTAAATAATTATTGGTGTGGACACTGACATAGCTTTACAATCAAAAACGAAAGATTTCTTTAACGTATTTTCCGGACTATAACCCGCAACTTTTTTCTCGAAATATCTAGGGTGCGGGTTATATAACGGTGCGGGTTATACATGAATTGCGTCTTCGAACCTTGAGTGACCGGGTTTAGGGTTAGGGGAACATGGCTTCACAAAAACTGGTCGCCAGCGTCGAACCAGTTGTGTCCAGATAGTTGAATTTATAGGAGTGCGGGCTATATAAAGGTGCGGACTATAGTGCGGAAAATACGGTATGTTATTTGTGCATGTTGCTCAGCAGAACTTTTTCAAATTGTTATGTAATCGTCTCTTGATTAGTGCATTTTAGTGTGAAATCAAGAAGTAAAAATTGTGTTATTACATTTATAACTGTAGTACAGCATTATAATAAGAATTGTTTCAACTAAAAATAATTAGTAGTTACCATACCGAGGAAATTGCTAGCCTACGACGAACCATGGCGCAAGCATACTAGCCGATTTATTTGTGCCAATACACTACAAGATATAAGGTTAGCTTTTTGTAACTGTTGTATTAGGCGACCCCCCCTATTTTGGAGGATAATTTTAAAAAATTTAAAGGTCGCCTTGTACGTGGAAATATACGGTATATAATATATAAGAAATATTGCATCTCTAGAATGGAAGAGAGATAGAAGAATCAATTGGATTTAATACATATATAAATACTACACATGACGATTGTCACTTGGTAGCTTTTATTTTATTATTTGCAACAATTATACTCACTTTTTGATCAGTTGTAGCCATTTTCAAGGGGGTGTTGTTTTTAAGTGTTGTTAATTTCTTTTCATGTTTGTCTAAGATGTAGTTTTTGTACTGTTTGAATAGTAGTAGCGTTTTCGCGAGTTGAACATGGCTGGAATTCGAATTAGAGTCTTTCTATTTTAAAAAAAAAGCCCTTCAGCACACCGTTTCCACTGCTGAATAAGATGAGATTTATACTGGGTACCAGATGTTTTATGTAAAGGGACTGTCTCACACCAAGATGTTTTCGGTAACGGGACCTATATGTGTTATCGACCAGAATATTCTTTAAGGATTGTTGTAAGTGGCTAAGTGCCTTTTTATGGCACTTTGATCAGATATGTAGCACGTGAGGTGTCTACTCAAGTAGCTGGTTGAATGACCGATATAGGTAATTGATTCATGACATGGAACGCAGTCTCCTTTCGTTGAATATAACATACAAGGAAAATTTGATTAATTAATTTATTTTTAAAGGAAATATTTTATAAATTTCAACTGACAGTAATGCTCGGTCAATGAATGCTGAATGTTTTCTTGTAAGGAAACGGTTAATATTTTCCATTACCGTTAGAGATTAGGAGAACAGATACTAAATTTCAATCCCAACCCGGTGGCTAGGGTGTGAAGAAAAGCTTAACTAGAGTAGCACTGTCTGCTTGGTCAATGTATACCTGATGTTTCCTTATAAGGAAACGACTAATATTACCGTTAGAAATGAAATATTACACTTAGTATTCACTTGCCGTTCCATGCTGGCAGGATGTGGCACAAGCTCAGTTTAATGTGGAGAGCCCGGATGAGTGCATCGTGGCCAGGTTTAAAGAATAACCGAAACCCCGACTGTTGCCTTGTTATGTATAAGCAGGGCTGGATGTACAGAAGTAGAAGCGGAATTGGGGAACTAAGTGGTAGAAATGAGCTTAGTACTGCGTAGACAATCAGTATGACACGGCGACATTTGATTGGACGTGTAAAGAGCCTTCGTGCAGCTAATGGGCAACTAGAACAGGTGTCACGTTCCGCAGGACATGCGTATGCGCGTGTTTCAGGCCCGCACGTACACGTGTTGCTGCACGCGCTAATTATCAAGGTCAGCAGCAACCGATGGGCAACGTATGGAGGTGTGAATCCCATCCACACAGCATAAGCTAGAATTGGAAGTTTGTGCGTGAAAAAGTAAATTAAATTTTGCCTTTGGTTTTTCCGCAAAGTGTAAAAAATCAGTTTTTCGACTTTTTGGCCTTCAAGGTTGTAATTTATCCAGCCAATTTGGACTCAAAACCGGCACTGAAGAATTATCTATCAGACAAAAAAAAATTTTCATCGAAATCGGATGAAAACTATGGAAACACATAAACAACATCCGATCACACACATACATACACACATATATACACACACATTTTGAGAATTGTAAATATATATATATATAATATTATTATAATAATTTAAAGTATTTATTTTTATTAAAGTTTTTTATTAAATATATATATATCCAAGAACAGATAGTAAATAGTAAAACGTTGCTGAGATTTATAATGGACAGGAAGTAGTGGAGAGCCATTGTCGCTAACAATCTGGACTCAAAACTGGCACTGGAGAATTATCTATCAAACAAAAAATTTCATCGAAATTGGATGAAAACTGTGGAAACGTATAAACAACATCCGATCACAAACACACAGACAGACATACACACATTTTGAGAATTATAGATATAGATATTAATTTATATGTAATATTTGGTTGCACTTACTCTGAAGTCACCATTGTTTCCGTCATCTAGTTCCAAAGTAAAAGCTTCGACGATACTGCTTGGATGAGGCTGCCATGCTATCGTCACACTGTTGTTCTCAGCACTGCAGTCCTCTGGAATTATCACAGGCTGGCCTGGCGCTGCAAAAGACAACAACAGAGACACCAATTACATCTCTGACTAACAAGAAAATTATGAAAGCATTAGCTTCGTTATTATATGTAAAATAAATCACTTACCGGATATTCTGAACATGCCTGACAAAATGAACAGTACTTTTTTTTTTTTTTTTAAATGAATATATATATATATATATATATATATATATATATATATATATATATTTTTTAAGGAATGCCTAAACCAAAGTCCCTTATATTTTAAATTATTTTAAAAATATATATAAATCAAGCGAAATATATATATATATATATATATACGATATATATATATATATATATATATATATAATTGAAAATATTTAGTTTGTTTGAAAATAGGAAGGATTTGAATCATATTTTTAAAACAAATATATATATATATATATATATGAAGTTTAAATAAACAAAGTTTAACTTAGTATTTTAGTTTTTAAATTTTTAAAAAAGTTTTAATAGAATAAAGAAAAATATAAAAACATAGGAGATAATGATTTCCGGAATTACGTTATATTTTCACATCATTTTTTATATCACTTAGACAACACTAGGAAGATTACAACAAAGATGGAGGGTCTGAAATTAATGACAATATTCATCTGAGAACTTTAGACAAAAGGAAGGCTGGAGAGTTGAACAAAAAAAATTGAAAAACATAATTTGAGAACTTTAGACAACAGTGAGAGTTGAATACAACAAAGATGAGGATACTCAACGAATAATTCATGGAATAATAGTTCCTCTGAGTCAACAGTAGGGAATGTTTTGAAAATAAAGGAATAAAAATTGAGAACTTTAGGAAACACTAGGAAAAGTTGAATACAACAAAATGAGGATACTAGTCTATGGAATAATGACAATACTCATCTGAGAACTTGATGAAAAACATAGGGAAGGTTTATGAGGTAGTCTGAAAATTCATGGTTGATAATATTTATCTGAGAACTTAAAATAGGAAGGTTGGAGAGTTAGAATCAACAAAAGATGAGGATAAGTCTGAACATAGTGATCTTCAAACTAGATGAGGATACTAGTCTGAATAATTCATGGAATAATGACATTTCCTATGAGAACTTGAAGACAACAGTAGGAAGGCTTGGAGAGTTGAATACAAATAAAAGATGAGGATACTAGTCTTCATTATGGCAAATAAACTAGAAGTTCAACAAAAGATGAGGATACTAGTCTTAGACAAATTTCACTAGAATGAGAGTTGAATACAACAAAATAGAGGATACTAGTCTGAATGAGGATCTCATCTGAGAGTTTTTGAAACAAAGATTTTCTTTCATCTGAGAACTTGAACAACAAAGATGAGTCAACATTGGGAATCTGAGAACTTACAAGGGAAGGCTGGAGAAAGATGAGGATAATGAATAATTCAATAGTAGGAAGGCTGGAATAATGATGTGAGATACTAGTCTGAAGGTTGGAATAATGAGAACTTTAGACAACATAAGAATGAGATGAATACAACAAAGATTAGTTT